GGCTAAATGGATATTAAATGAATCAACTCGCGATTATTTTGCTGTCAACAGATTTATACAAACTAAGATGTTGATTTAAAATTATCGAAACAAGAATATTCTGATCAAGCACGCTATTTTTCATCGAGTTTATTTCAACGTAATTATTAAATGGTGAAAAAAGTTTAAGAACGTGGCTCATATATTCTGAAAGTACAAATCGTGTATTTTATGGGCCATGTCGATTATTAAATATGGATAATTATTTTGCAAAAGAAGGTTTCAATGACTGGAAAAATATGATCAAATCTATAGAATGTCACGAAAATTCCAGTTTTCATAAATCATCTATATTAACTTTAAAAATAAGAGGAAACGAAATAGGACAAGTTGATAAAACGTTGATAAAGCTGAAACCGTGTGAGCTTCGGCGGACGCGGAGTAGCTCGCCGGAATTCAGGTTCGGTCGGTTGGGGGTATGTCAAATAAAACAAATGCTCGTTTATAATAAAGTAAAAAACAACGTTTATTAAGTAAGATGTTGAAATGACTTGCTTCAAATGATCTGCTTCAATGCTCGTGTGTACATGCGAAGCGTGTGCGAAGCGAATTCGAAAGAACATATAAGTAGCGTGAGATAAATAGAAAGTATCGGTGCGATCGGTATGATAACAACGGTGAAATAATTATTCAGCAACGGTGAAATAATTCTTTAAAACGGCGTGAAATAATCGTAAAAGTATCGGTGAGATTGGTATAAGCGACGGTGCAATAATTAATAAGCAACAGCGAAATAGTTATTGAAGCGGCGTGAAATAAATACAAAAGCAACGTGAAATAAATCTGGAGTATCGGCAACGGTGAAACAATTATTTAAACGGACGGCGAAATACTTATTAAAGCGGCGTAAAATAAATCTGGAGTATCGGCAACGGTGAAACAATTATTTAAGCAAACGGCGAAATAATTATTTAAAGCAACGGGCAATTGATTATTAAAGTTTGACGTGAGGCATTTTGGTGCGATCAGCAAGAGCGCAAGCGCAGATGATCGTGTTGTAGCGGTTGGTACAACGCAACGCTCGTCGGTGAGTGCGTTCGTGACGGTACCGCGAGTCCGTTCAATTGTAGATCGTGACGGGTCGCTTGACGGCGCGGATTGGTCGACGCAATTTGCCCGCCGGATGGATTCTGCGAATGAATCCCGGTGCGCGGCAACGCGAAATTAGGATCATGACGTCGAGTACGCTCGACGGGAGTACGAGAATGCTCGTACTAGAGGCTTTGAGGCCGAATCTGGTCGGCGGACGTACGAGAACGCTCGTACGAAGACGGATTTAGAGCGGCCATCCGACTAAGTATAAGGGAATGCCCTGTATACGAAGATCGATGCCTGGAGGAGCCGAGTACGCTCGACGGGTATACGAGAACGCTCGTATCGGAGATAGAAACGGTACCGAGGACGCTCGTGTACCTGGAAGAAGGCATAGAAGCCGAGTACGCTCGGCGGACTACGAGAACGCTCGCAGCAGGATTGTTCGCTGTCTAGCAGCGAACGGGATCTGGTGAGAAGACGTACAGCCGGGCCTCTTTTATACCCGGCTGGCAGCCGACTGAACTCAAATCGGCAAGCATCGGCGGTTTCGGCGGCGGGCCCCCCACAAAACGGAATTTCGGAACGGTCGGGTGTGGGGGGTTTTCGGCGATTGACCGCCGTTGTTTTGACAAGAGTTTTATCGGCGCTCGATGCGCCCTTGATGGGCTACGGACGATGGACGGTCCGTAGCCGTAACGATGCAGCTTGCGGGCTGCACCGTTACATCGTTAATGTCCGTGTCCAAATCTTTTGTTAAAAGATTATTCCTTATTCCTTTGAGTAAATGAACATAATCATATATAACTATTTCTTGATTTTGTATTATAAAACTGTTTTCTGAAATGCAAAGTTATTATTTTACAATTAATATTTAGTTACTTAAATCAACAAAATTTGAACTAATTATATGAGAAATTTACTTGTTTGTAAAGCCTTTGTTGTGCGAATTTTATTACTTTCATTTACCAAAAATTTTATTGCAGCGACATTTGAACTACTTTGGTCGCATATTGTAGCGATAGGTATTAACTCAGATGCAATGATTTTCATTAGCCATTCCTTAATACAGCATACTAGCTGAAATGTTTTTGTGTTACTGTTACAGAACCCATATCCTAAGGGTATCTTATTTCCTGATTTTAAACTTCGTAAATAAAAAGTTATAGCATGATCTGCAATTTTTCGGGTTCTTTTCATTCCCCAATCCTCAAATCTAATAATTTTATCCTCTGTTTTATTGTATGACAAAAAGGTTGCAAAGACATCTCATCCCAGATAAGAGCAACATATTTTTCTCTTTCATCTTTAAAATTTTTAGCTACTTCTTTTAAATATTTCACTATTAATTGTGTGCATCCACTTTTTAAAGGAATATTTGCTAGTTGTGAATATAAAGTTGTCATAGATGGACAAAGAAGATATTTAGATAAGAAATTATAGGACGAACGAGATCTTTTAAATATACCAAGACAAAATAATTTATCTTCTAAAGTATATCGTCGTGCCTATAACATATAATTAGACAAAAAATAAGACATGATACAAAAAATATATGTCCAATGATCTGTGTTACATTATGTATATATTATAATAAGCATTGTTACACTTATCAAAAGTATAAATAAATTGTATAATAAATTTATAATAATTGATTTTACAATTGTATTATATTTATTACTGGTATATATAATTGTAAAATCAATTAATTATAATTTTATTTTAAAAAATAATTATATTTGTACTGACGATAAATGTAATAGCATTACCTATGATAAACATGCATTATGTAATATTGTATATAATACCATAATGTGTATATTATTTCCAAAAAAATAAAAAATAAAAAAACAAAAATTTTCTTAAAAAAATATAAGAATATTTCTTAAGTACTTAGGCCAGGTTGCACCAACATTATTTTAGATTTAAGCGAGACTTATACATGTGTGTCTATCTTTATCTATTTTTCTAAATAAATAAAGACAAACACATATTTAAGTCTCGCTTAAAATCAAAATAACGTTAGTGCAATCGGGCCTTAAAGATTATATTTAAAGAAAGGAATATTTTCTTTAAATATAGTATTTAAAGATTATATTTAAAAATATATTCCTATTTTTTTAATACAATCCTCAATAAATACCTGGGGAGGAACATTATTATTTCTTAATATCATATTAATAAATCTTTCTCGTACTATCATTGATCTTGTATTTTTATTATTATATGTCAAAGATATTGTTTTTTCTTTTCCTTTCTGTTTTAAATTTTTCACAAGACGCTGTAAACGTCTTTTATCACGTTTTAATTTGACAATTGTGCTATACAACTTTTTGGCTCTGGAACTAAGATGAGCTTTGCGAGTTATCTTGTAAGTCTGGCCCATTTCTTATTGGATTGGAGTTTGTTATACAATTATCAATTTTTTTTTTTCAATATTGTTAAGCGATATTCTGAAATTCTGATCTTGAATAATATTATCTTGTGTTTGCTGCAATTGACTTTGCTTTTCTATTGTCTCTTGTATATTTATACACTGTTGTGCTTTTTGTTGTGTATTATGTAATTGCTGTTCTTCCACTTGTACTTGTCTTTCAAGCTCTAGGGTTTTATCTGTAAGCATTTCATTACTACTTGTAATGATTGTATAATTTGCTTGTGTAATTTGTTCACTTACACTCATCTCATTGTGTAACTGTTCTACATCGTTTTGTAATATTGATTCTGTCTCTA